AATAATTTTGTCAAACTTTTCCCAAACATTGTTTATCAATTTAAGAACGGTTTGAGAATCATTTGTTAACATTCCGTTCCGTTTCATCTGTGTCAATATGGCACAGATGTCGCAAGTCCATGGGTAGTCTGCTACATCAGTCGCAAAATGGCTCTTCGACCATGCGGTCGCTGTTATTCGCAATTTGTCTAATTTCAAAACAAACTAAGCAACCAATTTTTTACATCAACCGTATTTTTCTTTGTTAAACTAACTGAATAAATAAGCTATTAAATAAACTGTTAAACTGCATAAACAAAAATTACTGTCCTATAAAAACTCTCTTACGTGTACCATTGGCAACACTATACCAGTATTTCGATGCGAGTAACGGGATTTCATTTCGTTCCGCTCCACTTACGTTTGAGAGAAAGTTGAGAATTCAACATTTCTCAATTTGAAAATAAAGAAAATTTTCATTACAAAAAATTATCTTTTAGTTTGTGAACGCTATCAACAGTTATTTGAGATGCATTTGGGAATTAACGTTTGAGATTTGAGAAAAGGACTGATTCTCAAATGCACCTCAAATTGAGATTTAGCAAAAATGTTTATTGGGTTCTGCCATTCTCTTTCTTTGACTTCCTTTTCTATTGTGTGAAAAGAAGTGAAACGAGTTCTGTTCAAAATGTTCAGCATTAAATGTATAAATTCAAGCGCAAAGGCGTGAACCGGTAATTGCAGCGCATGGCTTTGCTAGCGTGACGTAGCCGGTGACGGGACTTGATGAAGTTGCCAATCATTTTTTTTCATTTTCTATTGAATAATTATTTAAATTGCGGTGGTGTATTTTTGTATAAATGTATGTAATTATATATCCCTGATATTGATTTATTTTGCAAGAGAAACGATTTCAATTAGGCAAGGAATTGTAATATTGTTGTCCCAAGGAGCTTTTTCGCTTTTCGTGAACCGTTTTGATAAAATCTAGGAATGCTATTAGACTAAATGCATGCTATTAGACTCTGTCACTCCGCAAACTCTGACCAGCTTCCACGATGTGTGAAACTCTCACCAACTTCTACGAAGTTTCAGGATGCTTAGACAACACAACTCTGCCACTTATTCTTTAGAACAAGTTTTCTATACGAATCCCTACTAGGAACGTTTGGAAAGATACCTAATTCCATCTTGGAACTTCAAGATAGCTCTATAGCCGGGCACTTGCTAAGCTTTTTAAGCTTTCGGTGAAAAAAGGCTTATTCTGGCCATCCCCAGTGTATAGCCATCTAGGCACCTAATGCATTACTCAATTTACCACCCCAGATTTATTACTTTTGGATGCCGACTCAAAACCTCACATACTGAAATCTTTAAATCGCGATCCAAATAATTATGACCTAGAATGGTAGGAGCATATTAACTAAATAGGTTAGGGGTATGTATTAGATATGCCTTTTGAATCATGTGAACCGAAAGTTGCTGAAAGGTTTGTTATATCCATAATACTTACGGATGAATCTAAATTCAGAACCCTGCTCGGGAGCCGCGATATTTTCAGAGTAGGATAACGTCTATCCTTAGAGAAGAACGTAACTGTCCTTCAAGTTGAAGTGTTTGTGATACTTAGTCATGGCCATGAACTGTAGGAATATTCACCAAATTGAGCAAACGACCTGGCGCGCGGTCAAAAGAGCTGGACCGTAATCGCGGCATTCGTGATGGAATGATTATTCGTTTCGCATCGAGTCGAATAAAATGACCGCTGTTTTCTCCCCAAATACTATTTATATTGACGAAGTGATCTCAAGATCAAATTTCGATACGAGTTACGGTCGATAGCGAGTGCCGCGATTCGAGCCCCGAGTAACTCAAAGCAGAGAAAGTGGTCAAAGTTTTTGCTTGAGCTAATCAGTTCTTTTGCCCGAGTGCCAGGTCACTTATTCAATTTGGTTAATACCCCTATTGTGGGCAAACGAGTTTGTATGGGGTTGTATGGGGACATCCATACCTCGAAAATTATTTCAGATTTAATTTCCACGCTGATCCAAAAGAGTTGCCCAACTTCCATGACAAATAAATATAAATATTTTGAGTGTTGACGTGTCAAATGAAAGCTTTTGGCTCTTTCTGATTGGCTGAAGCAGAAAGCTTTCTGATACAACTCTGCGCTGTACAGGTTTCCACACGAGTTAAGTGACTTAACTGGTTCGATTTCCAACAACAATTGCATGCGATTTAACTTGTTTATAAACACGTTTTGTTCACTTAACTGGTTCAAGTCCATTTAACATGTGTTAACTGTAATCCTATAAGACATAGCCTCGTATTCTTAAGACTTACGCGTAGTGCAAACATATTTACAGGTATTTCCTTATAGCTTGAGAGATATGTGCATATGCATGTAGAATTGTTGATCAGAATGAAGATGTAGGACACGAAAATGTACCTGCAAGTAAACCAATAAAAAATGTATGTAAGTAGATACCTATGTATGTATGTACATATATGTACCTATATGTATGTAGTAGTATATAAATATTTATTTTATAAATCCAGAAGCGCTTTTGTATGTGATAAATGATAGAGATGATACCTTTTGGGAAAGTTGTAACTTATAAGGCTAAAGAACTGCATAGGGTGGGGGCAGCTGTAACACTAGTCTTTGAAGAATCACGCCTAAACTACTAAAAGCACTTTCACAACAATACTAAGACTTACGATGGAAAACTGTTCAGGACTTAGAAGTGCACGGAACATACATAGCGAGCTTGCATATCGAGCCCTAACCGCCAAAAGGACGTAAGCTACATTTCTTTTCAAAATTTTCTTTTTGATACAGTAATGTTCCTAAAGCATCTAGATGCATTTCTGCATCAAAAAGAAAATTTTGAAAAAAATATCGCTTATGTCTTTTTGGCGGTTAGGGCTCGATATATTATGCATATGTACATCAAACAAATTTGAAGATACGTATGTACATTTACGAAAAATTATAAAGAAACTCGCATAGAAAACATATTTCGGCCATAATTTTTCCGTGTACTTCTTCATATATATACAGACATATGTATCTGTGCCGTTCAATTAAAGTAGCTTAAATGACTTTAGAAGGTTTGACAGATATGTACATATTTCGGTGTATTCGTCTCTTTAGAATCAGCTATTTTATTTGAACAGAATAAAATCAACATAGAAATATTTCTCACTTTTTGCTTTGAGAAACTGTCCGTGCTTATTTAAGAAGATTTTGGATAACACAAATTTCCCTCCAAGCGATCCGTGAGACTACTCGTATTTTTAGCTACGAGTGGCTGTACTCGCATTGGCTGGGGTCCATTAGACCGGCGAGGCAAATGCAGCGGAATTGAAAAAACAAAAAACAATTGGATAATTTTGAACAAATTGTTTGCTATTTAATTACCAAATACTATAATTTCTAACCAGTACCCATATCCCCTAACCAGTATTTACATATGTCCGCTGACATGTCCTAATTATACAAAAGAAACTTTTAGAGCGCAAAATTGTTGACTCTGTGAATACTTTCTGAATGATAAATCCCAAAAAAAACATCCGAAAAAAGGTTTTCTTCAAAAAACAATACAATTATTTTGGTATGACTTAGAAAACAATGGTTTAGGAAGAATAGATAAAGTTTTAGTTTATTACCAAATACTTGGTAAGGTAGTCTCTCTTCACTGCGTGTGTAGTATTCGTCGCAAGGTCCCATTGCCTTCTTATCTTCTCGTATCCATTGCATATCTTGGGTGGCGGTGATGTCTGTGTTTGCGCTAATAAGGACATCAACTAGCCTAGGGGAGGCAACTTCCTCATTAATGGATCAGACATTCCACGTGCATGTCCTCAAATAATAGCCATTAAAACGTTTGTGGTAGTCGTGGATAAAAGTAGGTCTCATCCCGCCGTGTTGAAGCTTTTCAATGGAAGGGGCTATTACGTAGAGGGTTACCAACCCTACACACAAACAGACTCTTAGACATTTAAACCGAATTCGTCGGAATTGCACCACCTGGGTAGGTTATCATATGTCGCACATGAGTTGCTTACGTTGTCCACAGTGCGCGAAGGGGCTAAGTAAACGTCCACAGTAGGAATTGAATATAGTCGTGCAACTACGATTGCATACCCAGAAGCTCTACTATACTACTTACATCGACACCCCTTGGAAAAGTTTAGGTATCGACTGCACTGCTGACTAACAATCACGCGACTGTCGATCATTTTCGTATTCAGCCAAATCTAAATACTATGGTATGCCAAGCCTTGCTTAGAAGACTGTGTATTTGCTATTTTGGCACAGAAGCCAAACGCTACCAACTAACAACAAGTAGGTATGCGGCTGCAAGCAGCAAATTACGCATGACTTCAAGATCACTTCATGGACGCAGACCGAAAACAAACAATAACAGAAGCTGTATGGCATTTGTAAATCCCAGAAAATGTAAGCAAACAAACCTGAGAATACAAGTGCAGCATTGCAAGTCTAGGCGAAGAACCAGCGTAACAATCTATTGTACATTTGAACTCGGCATTGCGTGTGCATTTTTGCGTTCATTAGCCATGATAAATCTGTCAACCGGTTCCTTAGGCACGTTTTCGAAGACCAGATGGACAAGCGCATAATAAACTGAGAGACAGATAGACAAGTGGACAGACGACCGTCGAAATGTGGTGGTGTGACTACTGCACCAGTAATCTTAAGCCTTAGGTATAAATTATTGAAATGGAATGAAAAATTAAAAAATAAATACATAAAAACTTACATAGTCACTTAACTAAACAAGTGTACTTAAATATGGGAAACTTGTTTGCTTAAGGGCAGATAAACATTTATAAATAAGTATGCAAGTACATACATATGTATGTTTTTATTATTATGTATGTTTGTACATACATTCATATCCATGCCAAGATATTGCCAAAACGTAAGAGCGACCGCAAGAGGCCAACGACGCTTGATTAAGCCAACGGCAGTTTTATTACCAAAAGCGCGTTCGTGGAGTGCGGGACAGTTCGAGTTCGTTGCCAATGTTAGGAATTGTGCGCGTAGGGCGATGAACCAGAGAAAACGCATCGAAAAGTACAAAAATGCAAAAGAAAGGAGTTAAAAGAATAGCAAAGCATAAGATTACAAACATTCGACACGCAAAAGAAAGAAAGAAGCGGCGTTTGTAATTTGATCTTGACATTCTCGGCTTCGACACCACTTGAATAGCACGTCTTCGGTTTCAAGCGCGTAGTACAGGCAAAGATTGAATTTCGAAATTAAACAAACACAAGCAGTTAAGTATAAGGAGTTGGGGAAATTAAAAGTCTAACCTACGACAGTTTCGAAGAAAGAAAAATTAAGTTCCTTGCGTGTCCAAAATGAACGAAACGCTCTATTGGCTACTGCGATTTTTAATTTTAGCAGTTGTGCTGGTGCCGCTAAGTTATGCGCAGCAGTCGCCACAGGAGCAGCAACAGCATATACAGCAAGTGCTCGGCATCGGTTTGGATAATCTTCTGCTGCACGCGCTCTACAACGACGGTAAGTGGCGCTGTAGTTTAATGAAAGGTTGAGTTGTTAATTAATTGATTAAGTGTTTACTTACACCGCACAGCTCCGCGCCAAAATGCCACATACGACTTCATCATTGTCGGTGCCGGACCAGCTGGTTGCGTGCTCGCCAATCGGCTCTCAGAGAATCCCAACTGGACAGTGTATCTGATCGAAGCAGGTGGCGTGGAAGGCATTTTTCATCAGGTGCCTGTACTTTCCGCCTTTCTGCAGGGCACTCACTCCAACTGGGGCTACAAATCGACGCCACAGAAACGCGCCTGCTATGGCATGTACAACAACGAATGCTTCTTACCCCGTGGCAAGGTGTTAGGCGGCACTAGCTCCATCAACTACATGATCTACAACCGCGGAAATAAACGCGACTTTGATCGTTGGGCCGCAGCGGGCAATAAGGGCTGGTCATACGATGAGGTCTTGCCTTACTTTCTCAAATCGGAAAATGCCAACTTGGTTGGGTTAGAGAATTCGCCCTATCATAATAATTCCGGTCCGTTGAGCGTCGAGGATGTCCAATTTCGCACGCCAGCAGTGCATGCGTTTGTAAAAGGCGCACAGCAAGCTGGATACCCGCGGACTGACTACAACGGCGAATCGCAGATAGGCGTATCCTACGTACAAGCTAACACGCTGCGCGGTCGGCGGCATAGCGCATACCGCGCATACATCGAACCGATACGGTATCAGCGCAAGAATCTCCGCATCGTCACAATGACGCGTGTAACCCGCGTGCTAATAGATCCAGTCACAAAGCGCGCAACTGGCGTAGAACTCGTGTACCGCAATAAATACTATAAGGTACGCGCGCGCAAGGAGGTCATACTTTCGGCTGGCGCCTTCAATTCACCGCAACTCTTGATGTTATCTGGCGTTGGACCTGCAGACAATCTCAAAGCTATCGGCGTCCCAATAGTGAAAGAATTGCCCGTAGGCAAACTACTCTACGATCATATGTGCCACTTCGGTCCAACATTTTCCGTGAACACCACTAGAGAATTACTCGATGTTGCTTATTTGAATCCGCGCATGGTGAAATCATTCTTGCTTGGCGATCCCAGTACTATGCTCTCCTCAATTGGCGGCGTGGAAGCGCTCGCGTTCCTGAAGGTGCCAAGCTCTAAGCAACCTGCGGATATGCCCGATGTCGAGATCATCACGGTGGCCGGCAGCTTAGCTGCAGATCAGGGTAGTGCTCTTAAGAAGGGTGCCAATTTCAAAGACGAACTATACGACAAAGTCTATCGTCCGTTGGCGGTCTCACAACAGGATCATTTTAGTTTTCTAATAATGCAATTTCATCCGAAATCTGTAGGACACCTTTGGCTGCATAACAGAGATCCATTTGAGTGGCCGCGCATAAACCCTAAGTACTACTACAACAAAGACGATGTGCAATTCATGCTGGAAGGCATCAAAGAGGCAATACGCATCACTCAAACACCGGCTATGCAGAGATTGGGTACGCGTATACATGATATTCCGTTGCCTGGTTGTGAACAGCACACCTTCGGGACTGACGCCTACTGGCGCTGCTCCATACGCACGCTATCGTACACGCTCCACCACCAGGTGGCTACCTGTCGCATGGGCCCTGAAAGTGATCCCACCACCGTTGTTAACGCCGAGTTAAAAGTACACGGCATAGAGGGCTTGCGAGTAGTGGACACAAGCATCATTCCATTCCCGCCGACGGCGCACACCAATGCGGCATCGCTTATGATCGGAGAAAAAGCAGCGGATATGATACGCGGCGATTGGCAGTGAAAGTGAAATAGTAAAAGTTAAGAATAGAGGTAAATAAAATAAAGTTAACATTGCTTTGCATTAAGTACTGAATTTAGGTTAAGTGTCTCCTAGTTCGAATGGAAGAAAATAACGGAACATGAGGAAAGTGAAATAAGTATAAAAAACAACTTAATAAAATCAATAATCATGTAAATATTTAAAACTGGTATATGAATCTAAAGTTCTCCAACGAAGCAAGAAGTAAAACGCACAAAAACGTTTGAACAAGATCGGTACATCTATGCGCTTATGTATATGTAAATGTATTTGTGTACATGGGTATGTGTAGTTTACATGAATGCGAAGTCTTAAGTTAAACCTAATTGTGTATGGAAATTAAATGAGCACTCAGGAGCGGCGCAAAAAATTAAGGTCAAAAGCCAATTTCGAGTTCGTATGAGCATAGTGACGTAAATGTTTCTATGAATGTACAGTGGTCGAAAAAATTATAGCCGCACCACATTTTGACAAGTTTTATTTTGTAAAAATACTACAGTTCGCTCTTTAACAAAACCCGTGTAAGTCCAATTTTCAAACTTTGTGCAATATTTAAAAAAAATCAACAAACTTTCGTAAAAATTTCGGACTTTTTTATTAGATTTCCAAGAAAGATTCTGTGCATGCAGTTTCGTGGCCCATGGAATTCTAGTAGAACAAAGTACAAGTTTCAAATGGCTAAAAATTACGGTTGATTTTTTTGAATTTTTTTTTGTCCCATTTGCTTCCATATAACGAAAACACACAATTTATTTTATATGGAAGAAAACCGAAACATCCTGGACAAAAAAAATTCTAACTTTTTTAATTAGATTTCCTAGAAAGATTCTGAGTATGCAGTTTGGTAGACTGGACAAAAAAAATCTGCACTTCACAGATGCTCTTTCATAATTCGGAGATACAAAACAAAAATTTTTAAAATAATTTTAACCCGTTGCCGCTGACGGGATTAGCAAATAACAGCAAGCATCTCTACATACTCAGTTACAGCCGCTTTATAAATTTGTCTCCAACTGTTCAACTTCAATTTTTTTTCGTCGTTAGATTCGGTTCTGCACTTTAGAGAGGCTTTTTCGTAATTAAGAAAAACCAAAAACAGAATAAAATAATAAAAACTTATGTGTTGCGCTGACGGCATTTGTACCCTCGAACCTGCTGGAAGTCAACATATAACAGCAAGCACCTCTGCACGTTCAGCCACAGCCAGACGTACCAAGTTGTTTTCAAATGTTCAACTAGAATCACATTTCTTACAATCGCTGCATTAACCATGAAAACACCAAACAATAACTTGGTTGAAAAAATACCTTGAAGCACTTTGAACCAATTTGCACAAATAAGAAAAAAAATTAGCTGCGTCTTCTAGAGGCTCTCGTGTAAAGTTTTTTTAAGTTTCTTCCGTTAATCCGTAAACAATGGCTGCAGACGTGTAACATTTACGAAGAAAACTTACTCAGATTTCCCTTTGTGTGTGCAATACATTTTGCTAGTGTTGGGCAGTATCGATACCAAAAGTACTCAGAACTCGATTCTCAAAAGGATCGACAGCACCCGATTTTTAAAAGTATCGATACTGAGTACTCCAAAGAACTAAAAACAATTGGTATCAATATTCATTCAACGTATGTAATTTTAAAATGACATTAGCTCATATTTTTGTATAAAAATAATATTTTGTCGAGGTTTTCACCAAGCAGTCGTGTACGTCTTTCTTCCAGAATTCTGCCTGACACAGAAAAAACTCGTTCACCAGTTGCTGAGCTAGCTGATATGTTTAAAAATTGCTTTGAAAGACTTGACGAAAGAAGGTGCAAATCTTTAGCTTTCTCCAAAAATTTTAAAACATCGTCATAACTTTTGTTTTCCGATTTTTGCAAATAAATCTGTATTTCCGTATTAATTTTTTCAAAAACTGTCTCTGCAAAGATGGGGTGCAATAACACCATACGCATTAACGCCATATGGTCTTATTTCCATTTTGTTTTGGAAATAAAACCATATGGCGTTATTTCCAATCCAGAAGTGAAATAAAGTCATATTCAAATTTGTGCAAATGAGTAATAAAGCCATATTCGGAAATGACACTCTCAAGGCGAATTAATAAGGCGGTGTTACCGGCGAATCTGAATTTTTCGCCGTAGAGAACATTACGTCCAAATGATGTGTTTGTTGATTTATATCGTCGTTTAACGTACAAAACCGCGTTTCGTCATTCTGCAAAACCGCGTAACTGACATTGGCTGCCAAAAATTGGATTTGCTCACATAAGCTCTTGGCTCAATTCTTATCCATTCGTCCTGAAATATACTAGCCAGAAATGCGATTGCTTTATAAAAAAGAGAACCATTATGAAATATGAGTGTTTTTATGCTCTAGAAAATAATTTCTACAACTTCACATACGCGGTTTTGCATTTCGCTGATACGCGGTTTTGCATTTTGTTGATACGCGGTCTTGCATTTTGTTGATACGCGGTTTTGCACTTTAAACGACGATATGTAAAGTGTTGTTGAAATTCTAATTAATATTTTTTGTTCCATTCTGAATAAGGTTTTTTGTTCGATTCTGTTAACGTAAAATATGTGTGTGTACAAGCTCTCACCAGTTGTCGATACTGAATTAAATTGAGGCAAAAATGAAAAATATTTGAAATTGATACTGAATTATTTAAATTGATACAAATTATTACTAATAAAATTAAATAAATAATTATTTAATATTTCCGGATTTATTGGATATTGAAAAATAAATATATGTACTTAGGTAAGTTTTAATTTTGCGAGTGCATAATTTGGCGGGTGCACATTTGCTGGCTCCCCGCACCGCGCCGCGCCACGCCGCGCCACGCCGCACCCGGTCGCGCCGCACTCATGACCATAATGGCTTTATTTCCATTTCCAGTTGGAAATAAGGCTATATCGAAATTATGGCTTTATTTCCAATCGCAAAGCGAAATAAAACCATTATGGCCTTATTGCGTATGGTGTTATTGCACCCCACCTTCTGCAAATTCGTTTGTTGCATCTTTAAATTCGTCAAAAGTTGCACGGGTTTTTGCTCTATTCGAGGTAGAAGGAATGTCTTCATCCAGAATTTGGAAATTGTGCTGAGGGCGAGCGCTCTTTTCTTCAAGTACATTTCTACCTAAGTTATCTTCAAGCATTGTATTTACTGTCCCTATTATATGTTCGCGCTGTTCTGCAGATAAAAACTTAAACTTTTTTTTAGTTTTTTGTACCACAGAACTAGGCGTGGGTAACGGCGCAAATTTTTTGGCGCTGAAACACTAACTCCAGCGCCACTGTTGGAATCAGCACAGCGTGTTGGCGCAATTGCGCCACTTCAGGCTAAAGCTCATTTCTTTTATTGCTGCACGCTACACCAAAGTGAATTAATACAAGGTGATATCGGTTGAGAAAAAACTCCAGTATACCCAAGTTCAAAACCCATAAATACAACAAACCCATCATTTTCACATTCAGAAGGACCGCGACCAATTCTAGCGACACCACCTTGTATAAATTCGCCTTGTGCTGCACATTTTACAAGAGACACTTCTATTTCGGGTGTTCTTTGCTGGTTCTTTGCGACACCCGGCGTTGTCAGTGTTCCGGTGTTGAACTAAGGTGAATTAAGACAAGGTGGTATCGATTGGGCAAAAACAACTTAAGTATACCCAAGTTCAAAACCCAAAAATACAACAAACACATAATTTTCACATTCGGAAGGATCGCGGCTAATTTTAGCAACACCACATTTTAAAAATTCGCCTTGTGCTGCACATTTTACAAGTGCCAATTCTCTTTTGTGTGTTCTTTGCTGGTACTTTGCGCCGCCCGGTGTTGTCAGTGTTCCGGTAAGAGCGCAATGGCGCGGCGCCGCACTGTGTTACCCACGGCTAAGGGCTTTGCAAGACTCATAGAATACCCCTTATAGAAAGCCAACGCACATTTCCTGAAGTGATATCTCTTTATTAGTTGTTTATTATTTATTTCACAATTAAAAAAATTATATTTATTTCCAATTATTTGTCTTTGATTTATAGTATGTTCACGTTGAGCCATTAACTCGAGTTTATTGAGCATTTTGGAGTTAAACGTTAAACACTACTCGTTAACTCGGAATTTGCCATACAAATAATTTTCGTTTAACTCTCCTCAAACACCACTTTTATTTAAAGTTAAAGCGAATGCAACCCTGTTTTACCGACTTTGGTTAGTGTCTTTGATGATCCAAACCTGCAACCAACTTGTCGACAGTTAGCCTGTTCCCGTACTGCAGGATTTTATCAGAAATAGTACGAGGTCGTTCCGTGCACATGAGTGTAGAATATCAACAATCTAGCTATGCAAAAACCAAAAATGTGACTCGATAGAGCTTTTGAGCTGATTTCAACCCTACCAAAATTATGGGGCATCAGTAAAATGTAAAGAAGGTATCAAGGTTAAAGTTAATTTTTTTGATTTTTTTTTAAATATTAATATCTTCTGAAAATCATAGCTCATCAAAAAACTAATAACTTAAAAATAAAGTTAATTATGGGGTCTTTCACTTGGTGTACATAATTGCTTCCTTTTTTTAATTTTTAAACCAGAAATACTAATAACACAATATATATAAATATTTTCTTTTAAATGGCGTTTATTTCAAATTTGTTTTAAAAAGGTGTATACTATATACGTCGCGTAAAAGGTATTTAATTTATTTTTAAATTAGTATCAATACTTTTGTGCTGGGTCAAATAGTTTCCGATATTGTACATATGTAATTATAAAAAATTTAAAAGTTGAACTTTAACCTCTTTTATTGGCTTTGGTTTTTATTTGTGTCCAATAATCTTGGTATGGCTGATATCAGCATGAAGAGTTCTATCGAGGCAAATTTTTTCTTCGGCTACTCCGGACTATTTCTGTCTAAACCCTGGAGTACGGGCACAGGCTAAATGTGAATAAGAAAAAATAAACAAACAAATATCAAATTAAACTCTATGCTTATTAAACACCCCAATGGGAACACTTGACAGTTGTTCATAAACTCAAAACGTTATACCCGAGTTAATATTTCAACATGAGCATTGTATTACTTTGTTAGGTAATAAGGTACAATACTTTTTAACCGACTTCCAAAAAAGGAGGAGATTATCAGTTCGTCGGAGTATTTTTTTTTATACCCGAGCGCACTTGTGCACAAGGGTATATTAATTTTGTTCACATAACGGTTGTTTGTAACAGCCAAAACGAATCGAGATAGATATAGACAAATGTATACATAAATGCTCAGAATGAATAGAGAAGTCGATTAAGCCATGTCTGTCTGTTCGTCTGTCCGTCCGTCCGTGTACACGATAACTCGAGCAGAAATGTAGATATCTCAACATTTGGTATGTACGTTTCCATTAATCCAAGATAGGTTGGTATTGAAAATGGGCGAAATCGGACTGTAACCACGCCCA